GGGGGGGGGGGGGGGGGGGGGGGGGGGGGGGGGGGGGGGGGGGGGGGGGGTGAGAAACAATGTGTTAACGTCTATTCCCCTGTTCCCTCTCTCGGCTGTGCGCAGCGGTAGGAGAGGTCAGCCTTTACGCCTGTCAGCGTGCCTTTACGTCTGTCTGTCTGTCTGTCTGTCTGTCTGTCCATCCCCTCTCTCTTCAAGCAAAGTCGAACTTCCGCAAAGACACACACACGCACGGGCCCACACCCTTGCCTCTCGCTTCCAGATAGCTGTTCAGAACATATACTTCATGCGTCTCTCTCTCTCTCTCTCCTTGGCATCCCCCTTCCTTAATCTCTCTCTCCCTCCCCCTCTGTGTCGGCGGGGATGCATACCGACAGCAGTAGTCGCGCGTACGTTCGTCGCTAAATATCTCGACGGACTGAGCACGAGCTGGGCGAAAGCAGATGTTGCAGATCCTGCCCAAGTGAGGTTAAGTGAGTATTCCAGTGCCCGATCAACAAACAGCTTGAAGCTCGGTCTAAACGTGTGAATTTAAAAGGAGTTGTCCGATGCCCAAGCGCGAACCAGTCTTAGTCTAAATGAGTCTTCACTAGTCCAAATGAGTCTACACTAGTTCTCCATTGCCCAAGTGGAGGCTTAAAGATTGCTAACACGTCGTCGTGATGGTGCTCAAAGATCTGATATTGCACGCGCCCACTCCATGAACGCGCGAGCGAGCGATCGAAGGACGGGACTGCCTCACTCCGGGAAGCGTTACTATTTCTCAATGTGGCCGCGAGCGCGCCTCTAGCGAGTTTCCCCGGAGGCTCCAGCAGTATCTCAGGAACGTTTTTTTCGTTCGCAAGACCTGGCAACAAACAACTCACGAGAGTCCCGCTGGGCAATAGGAAAACTGGAAAACAAACACACGAAACACAAGAGTCCCATCCAGCTTCCAGCGCCCTACTTCTCAATGCCTGCAACCTCAAAATATTCAAGTTTCCGCTTGGCTTGCAGCAACGCACCTGAAACAAAGTGAGCAACGATTTCGTGTGAAGGCAACGCAAAACACCCGCCTGTCCAACAAAACTTTTGACATTACTTTTAGGCACACAGTTTGCACACCAAAAAAAAAAAAAAACGTTTTCGGATGCCACGAAAGCGCCATTCTTGTACCGTTTCGCACCGAACGACGCATCTTCGTTCGATCTATAGCAGTGCCAGCCGTGTTGCTGAGGCGGTGGTGGGCAAAATGAACGTGACACTTCCTTCTCCAGTCAAGACCGTCTGCCTGTCTAACGTGCTCGACATTTTGGTGGCGTTGTGCACGGCGTACCTGAAACGGCTTCCACCACTCTGAGTCGTGTCCCTGGAGATGGTTCACTCGCAGCCCCTTGGAGGGATGCGAGGTGGGCACGAGTGCCGTCCGTGGGAACACGTTGGCCAAGAGGGAACTGCCGCGAGTCAATCGACAAACGAGGCATGAGGTACATAGCAAACCACAGATATCCATGCGGGGAGGGAGGGGGGGGGGGGGGNGGGGGGGGGGGGGGGGGGGGGGGGGGGCATGTAGAGGACGCGTACAGAGAGGGAGAAGGAGGGAGAAAGCAGGGGGGAAGGCCACTGAGTAACAGCGTGTGTGCCGTGTCCACGGGTGATCGAGACCGAGGCATTCGGACCAGGGGCAGAGTGCAAAAAAAGAGGGGGATGTAAATCAAAACCACGATAACAACGGTTCATCAACTCGCGCGTGCATACACATCCGAGCACCAGGAACGGGGCCTTTTGAGAGCAAGGCCTGTCCAAGAACAAAGGCAGACGCAGACAACAACCACGACAACAAAATCAATCAATCTCGACCTCACACGGCGAAAGGAGTAGGTGACGTGCCTGAGAGACGTCCCCCCAGTCTTGTGGATGTGGCTGAAGAACACAAGGTCTTGTCCTGGCCGGTACAAGGGTATCTCCGACCACCGCCGATCGACATCCTGTCGTTGTCGGCGTCGTCACCAAGGGCGCGAAACAGTAGTTATTCTTGCGTGTCGCTTCGTTGAAGTTGAGCACCAAGTTTGACAAGGCAGTAAGGTTGAAGGGAACTCCGGGGAAAACTTCCGGAGGTATCCGCAGGTATATTTGTTAAATAAACTATCGCTTTGTGTCGAACATCGTATCGCACCGACAGTTGTAAAATGTATTCGACGTCGACAACGATACCGATATGTCGATACTGCACTACGATATATCGTTGTATTCGATGCCATATATGCGACACTGGTCGCTTCGTCAGAAACGTGGCGATGCATCCAACTCGAGAAGCTGGGTTTCGATCTACAAGGGGGGTGCACCGTGGGCATATCAGGCCAGACGACGGCCACGCCAAAAAAAATCCGTTGATATCCCTGCTCGGCATGGCCTTGTAGCAAGTGCACAAGAGTTTTGGGGTGTTGGAGATGGTGTGCTGCACGGCCATGCTCAAACAGGACAAGGGTGGTGGTTGGTTTTAGCGTGCTACACCCGAACTACACTCGTTTCGCCTGACGATCGCGGGAGAAGAACCGAACCCCCATATGGTGTCATTTTCAAACACCAAAAAGTAACACTGCTGAATGCATACGGCGGTGGACTAATGGTACGACAAAACTCGTGCTCTCACGTTGGCGGGTGCACGTGCGCTTCGGTTGAGCCCGGCCGTCTCCAAGCTATCGGCATACGAGGTCCCCAGAGACTGTTCCTCCTCCCCTGCAAACGCGCATGAGACGCCAGTGCATGCAGGCGGGTGGGCGAAGCGGCTTCACGGGGGGGTGTTGGTTGAGCGGAGGCCGGGGGGGGCGCGTTCTCTTATGGTTTGCATGTCATAGCGGTTTGACCACTGACCACGCGTCCTCGAGAGGACGGAGCATTGTTCCCATAGGACCGATCATAGATGGCCAATCGTTCCTTCCTACTCAGCCAAAGGTGTCTCAAAATGTCACCCCTAGTTTATCCATTCTATCGACACCACTTCCCGCCTTTTCGACCCACTTCCTATGCCCCAGTACAGCTACCGTCTTCTCCTGGCTATCCCATGCCTCAAACATCTCCCTGTACCTTCCACTTACGGAGACCGGGAGAGGGCGGGCTGAAACGCCCTACTGCTGTGCTGTGTAACCAAGTCGAAATAAAGGTAGTCACGTTTATCGCCGTTGTTGTTGCCTAGCATCGCGATGATCCCCCCCCGCACGTCTTGCCCCGGGCAATAAGGCGGCAGGTACAACTGGGGCCAGATTTCATGGAACGAACACATGAATTTACGAATTTACGAAGAAGTTTTCCATACAACAGCTAGCAGTCACGTGGTGTTGCAGGCAACTACAGGTAGGAGATTCACCCTGACTGTGTGGTCGCACGGGGAGAGTTTGGCGCGTGGTAGACTACTGCTGTAGTTATAGTTGCACGGTTCACAACAGCGGTCGGTAGTCGTATGCATATCATACGACAGGCAACTAATTCAAGTGTGCAGGGCGTGCAGTATCTCCCTCTGGGGGGGGGGGGTACCATGCATGCATTTGGCTCATGTTGAGCATCCATGCCCCACAATCGGTACCCGATCAACTTGCATACAGTGGTGGCTACGGTTTAAGAGAGTGTCGTGACAAGCCTACACCCGTCCCTTAAATCCGGTTTTCTCTTACACCGAATTGGCCACGGTATGAGAGAGACTCTTAAACCGTAGCCAACTCAGCAACGGCCGTTGAAGCGCCATGCTGTTGCCGAAACCACCGGGCGAGGTCGTGGAGGGCAATGATGACATGTTGAGAACGTTGCTGCTGCGAACATCAGCACCTTGTTTGTGCTCGCGAGATGTACCGAATATTATGAACACATGGGGTAAACAAAAAGCGAGAAACAAAAACGAAATGATATGGCATTGATGCACCACCGTAGAAAACCTCCCCATTCTTCCGCCCGCCTCAGCACACTCTCTCTCGTTCCTGTGAACTCCCTCATGCAAGTCTGCTTTGCTTCCCTCGCTGCACAGGGCTTGGTGTCTGCAGCGGAGGTCGTGGTCTGTGTGTCTGTGTGGCTCATACTACTTTGGCTACGGTTTCAGAGAAAACAAGAGTAACAGTGCAAATTCTCTCTTGAAGCGGTCAGGGGCGTGACAGGCCATTTTGACTCTCTTAAACCCGTACTTTCTCGTGGGTAAGCTCTACGAAGGGGTTGAAGAACACGAGCTTTGGCTGAAGAACACGAGCTTTGATGCTTGACAAATTTGAAAACAAACGCACGAGCATCAGAAAACGTACAAGAGACACACCAGATCAGTCTGAAGGCCTTGCGAAAAACAGAAGTCGTTTATTCTCGCACAGAACGGCAGTAGAGGCTTCTCGAAACATGCATTTCACGCGTCTACCTCCACACGCCCCCTTTGAAATCAAGATAGACATCCACACTACTAAGAATTCAAGTCAAAAGGACCCAAACGGCAGGCGCTCAAATACGCTCTGTGTTGCCAGAAACCTGGAAATTAATAGTTATATCAGTAGAGGACATCCTTCAGCAGCGGGGGGTGCGCGTTGGGGCGCTCAAATCTTCTTCTGTGGTGGTGATATGAAGCGTCGTTGTAGTGGCCTACAATCTCCGCAAATCTCCGCAAATTTGACCGACACCCAGTATCTTCTACTGCTTGTGCTCGCCGCCACTGCCCCCAACCTGCTGAACTGCGGGTACAAAGCAGCTGATGCCACTAGCTACTGCTGTTGTATGGCGGTGAGCACGGCTGTGAAAACTGTTAGATGCCGCTCAGTTTCGGCTCAGATTTCGGACTGTTTTCAGAGGCTGCTGCGACCTTCGATATTGCAGCTCCAGTATCAAACCTGAGCGTGTCAGCACGCACGATGGATGCCTCTTGATGGTGTCCTCCACTGGTATCAATACCAAGTACCAGGTTCCTCAGGCGGGAAGGTTGGTTTCTTTCTTTGTGTTGGATGAAGAAAAGGAAGAGAGCCAGCGTCAAAACCCCTTTTTTAAACCCTTCCACCGGCTCCACGCCCGACAAGCGGAGCTTCTTCGGAATCCCGAAGCCAGACTTGGACGAGGCGGCGAAGGTGGAGGGGGGGGTACCGTGGCACGCGGGGGTATTACATGGAGCTGAGAGGTTAATGGCCTCTTGGCACAAGGGCGAGGAGAAGGCCAGCCGACAACGAGTCATCAAACGAGGAGACAGCGGGCCCAAAAATAGTCTAGATACGGCACCAATCAACGGGGCGGTAGGGGGGCGGAAGGAAACGGCGCCGCGGGAAGAAAGCAAGCGAGAAGAGACCGACCGCGTGACGTGACATGTTGCGGTCGAATTTCAACGACTAATTTTTCTGTTGCCCTCTCCCCCGTTTGCTGTCGCGTTCAGACTGTCTCTAGGGATATCCCTGTCTCTGTGCGAGTTTGTTTATGTCCTCGTCTGTCGTTGGTTTACTTCGTTTTATTTTGTTTTGTTTTTTTACTGGCACGTATTGCTGACCCTTGGGGTCCTTCCGGAAGGCTACCCCCCAGGCTGGTGGTGCGCACGTTCCACTATATATATATTTATTTGTTTCTGATTCTTTTGTTTTCTTGTATTTTATCGACCTGCTAACCCTTGAGGTCCATTTTTTTTTGGTATACCTTTTCTAGGTACGTTAGCCTGTGACCACGGAAATTGACCGAGTCGAGGGCTGGATTAGTACGGAGAGATTGAGAAGATTGAGACAGAAGGAGGTACTGGATAGAGAGACCGGGATGGTTTTTANATATTTATTTGTTTCTGATTCTTTTGTTTTCTTGTATTTTATCGACCTGCTAACCCTTGAGGTCCATTTTTTTTTGGTATACCTTTTCTAGGTACGTTAGCCTGTGACCACGGAAATTGGCCGAGTCAAGTGATGGATTAGTACGGAGAGATTGAGACAGAAGGAGGTACTGGATAGAGAGACCGGGATGGTTTTTAATGTGAAGACAACAACAACAACCGCAGCCACCACTGCTGTATGCTACTTAAATATCAATATTTCGTCAAGGGTATCTGGGTACATCCGGAGAGACGGAGAAACATTCGCAGACGTGCTTCTAAGATGTAGATGATGGACTAAATATGTGGGAAATTCGAACGTTCGAACTGTTCAATGGAATCGCTGCTGCGCTACAGTTCACGCCGCCATTTGGCCCCTTCCTGTAGTCGCCCCGCGGCGTCGATAGCGCACAAGTGGTCGGGATGGATGTCGTCTGTCGCGTAACAAAATTAAGAAGTCTGTGGGACAAATTCTTAGACTGAAAAGGTTGGCGGTGCGCAGACGTGCAGCGTCCACGCCAGCGTGGTGTTCGCCAACACGTAGAGACGAAGCAAAAATTGACAAAAAAAACACTATTGAGGCTGTCGACGTGCTTGCTTCATGGTAGATGGCCCAGCATGTATGCTTTTCTATTTCTCGACTCTCTCGGTCTCGATTCTCTCGCCCTCGGTTCGTCTCTCTCTAACATATTCTTTCTGCAGGCAAAGGGGGGCATCAACACGGCATGGGCACATGGACAGTCTGTAGTACAGTAGTGGGCCCCCTATAGTGCACTTTGAATAGTGCAACCGCCCTCAATAGTGCAGGATCTGCACTATTGAGGCAGATACCCGATATAGTGCAGGTTGGGCACCGCGGTGCCCCGCAATAGTGCAGGTGGAGAAACATTCACACACACACACACACACACACACACACGATCAAGAGAAAAACAAGACACACACGAACAGCGGATAGACGCAACACAAACGCGGCGCGCGTGCTGCTGCAGACCCGAAGAGCTGTACGCAGCGCAGAGGCGCACCATGCCGATCTGGGGGTCATCGCTAAGACGAAGGTCGTCTACAGGAAGGAGCTGCTCGATGTGAAGGCATCAACCATGTTGGTGGCTGACACACTTCGCGCCCAGGCCAAAGCCCGCAAGATGAAGGCCGGGACAATGGGGCTGGCGCAAGGGCACCAACCTCATGTGCGGGACGCGGCTGAACTTCTCCAGAAAGCATGGGCAAGCGTCACCCCCCAGGATATTGCCAGGTGAGGTGTGAACATTGCCATCGCGATTTTGAATGTTCAGCTAGCGCGCGTGCACCTGGCTTCTGTGGTGCGATACTTGGGTGTGTACAGTTGTTCGGTTTTCTTTTTTTTGCCGAGTATTCCAGCATCTGGCCATCTCTAGTGTATCTTCACTACCAAAAGGGTTGTCTCTCACATCCCGATGGGTCAATTGTTCGTCGAATATCGCTTGTTCACCCAAAAACCGATGAATCGCATTTTCTGCGCTACCTCGCACCAGGTGCTTCGTCAAAGTCGAGACGCTTCCAGAGGACATGGCGGCTGAGCTCACCAAGCAACACGGAAAGACCCGGTTCGACATCGCCGTGCCTGACCTGAAGGCTCTCACGGAGACTGTCAACACGTTGAGCACGAGCGTGAGCGACGCGCAGAAGCAGGGATCCGCCGTCGTAGATGACGAGATCGCCGAACTGCTGGCAGAACTCAACATCGAGCCTGGACAGCCGCTCGGGGGGCAAGCGGTGAGCGCAATTCAGGGATGGGCTACCATCGAGGACGATGCTGAGGTGGTAGAGGCTCTTCGGCTGGACGCGGCGGACGACATGGCGGCATTGCTAGCTGGAGCGCGCATTTCTTCCGGCTGCGATGAGGATGATGAAACGGAAGATGGCGGTGGCGGTGAGAACACGGGGCGCGAGTGCTGTGCTCCACCCGGTTATAGTGCGCTGTCACCTAACTTCGGCGTCCTGGAATCGGCAGCAGATGAGAGTGGCAATGGAGACGCGGCGTTCCATCTGCAGAAAGCAAAAATGGCGATGATCACAGCGCATGCCGCTAAGCGGGTGCGCCAGGCAGACATGAGAGGGTGTGTCGAGACGTAGTGACGGCGGCGGGTGTACGTGGTTGTTTTTTTTTCCTTGCAGTCAGCTTCCTATGCGCCTTTCTCGTTCCTTTTTTTTTTTTTTTCCCGCGACATCGCAGCGGGTGCGCCGGGCAGTCATAAGGGAGTTTGTCACGACGTTNACAGCGCATGCCGCTAAGCGGGTGCGCCAGGCAGACATGAGAGGGTGTGTCGAGACGTAGTGACGGCGGCGGGTGTACGTGGTTGTTTTTTTTTCCTTGCAGTCAGCTTCCTATGCGCCTTTCTCGTTTCTTTTTGTTTTTTTTCCCGCAACATCGCAGCGGGTGCGCCGGGCAGTCATAAGGGAGTTTGTCACGACGTTAGCAAGGGTGCGGGGTGCATGCTTGCTTGATTTTTCTTTGCAGTGACCTTCCTGCATGTTTGTTTTTTTTTCTTGCAACATAGCAGCCGGTGTGGCAGGGGTCGGATAAATTGGAACGACGGAGTGAGGTTGCGCCTGGCTGGTTGTGTGTGTGTTGGTTCTTGCTAAATCGAAGCCAGGTGCGCCAGGGAGACATGAGAGTTTGATCATCACGTAATGATGGCAGGGGCCAGCAGTACATGGTTGCTCGTGTTTTTGCAGTGGGCTTTCTGTCGTATTTTTTTTATACACGCAAGTCTTTTTCTATCACCAACATCGAGGGAAGGCAGGCAACGAGGACTGAGAGTTAGCTTCGTCCACTATTAATCCACAATCTCGATNGCAGGGGCCAGCAGTACATGGTTCTCGTGTTTATGCAGTGGGCTTTCTGTCGTATTTTTTTTGTACACGCAAGTCTTTTTCTATCACCAACATCGAGGGAAGGCAGGCAACGAGGACTGAGAGTTAGCTTCGTCCACTATTAATCCACAATCTCGATCCATTTCGTACTCTGTTGGCCCCGCAAAGCGCGGACGCCACACTCACAACGTGAAGTCGAAGAGTGCCTCAATAGTGCAGATAGTGCAGGTAAATTCTCACGACAGACCCCTGCACTATATAGGGCCCACTACTGTAGTAGTGTTGAAAGTTGAAAAACATGGAAGGCGCCATATTGTACGCGGGAAAACAACTGATTTCGTTCCGCTCACAACCACTGTCGACGGAGGTCCACCAGATCACCCTGTGCAAACACAGGCCAGCGACCACCACCCCTGCGGCCAAGCTCAACCATTGCCTCCTCATCGCCACGGCACCCCTTGAAGAGCCTTGATCCGTATAATCAACCGCCGTATGGGTCTCTTCTGTGATCTGCCGTGTCTTTTTGCTTATTATTAGCATCTGCCGTGTCTGCGACTGCTGTATCACTGACGCGTAGAACAGGCATGACAGATGAAAGATACGTCGCGGCGGCAGCAAGCAGCATGTCACGACCCCCCTAAATATAGGAGTGCGAGAAAGTTCCGGCGGCGTTATGCTGCTGGTCGGGACACAGCAAACAACGATCAACGAAGCCCAGAGCTCAGAAGGCCCAAGGCCAAGGCTTCCGGCTCAATTGCCACGGGCCGCTCGTTCCTGCTCTCCTCCACGCTCCCCTCAGGAAGAGGGCAGCAAAAGGAGAGAGAAAATCAGCATTTGGCAAGCGTGAGGAGGTCATCACTCACGGATCACGCACAGGCAGTCGCGAGCCGGGGAGGCGGCTCTTCACCTAAAACAGAAACATGCGAGCACGCAGAATGATCCGTCGTTCGTGCATCGGCGGTGGTGCAAGCTTGAAGCTTGGGCTGCGGTGGCTGACTCTTCTCCTAGCTCTCCCAGCGGCAGCATCAGGGCCAGGGGCATCAGAGGAAGCTAAAGCGAACAGTATTGGGACATCAACGGCGGCGACGCCGGTGGTGAGGTCGCCGGCGGGGGCGGAGGCTAGGTACGCAGATGGCGGCCCTGGCGGTGTTTGGACGCCGTCGCCCACCGCCGCTGATTCTTCCGGCGGCGGCGGCGGCGGCGACGACGGTGTTGGAAAGGGACCCTGCAAGATCGCCATCGAACGCATGCTCTCTCCGGTGAGAATATTCGCTATCATTCTTGCGTGCCGTTGTACGCAATCTCATCTGCTGCTGTAGACTATTTGTTCCTGGAAAATTTGTTGTTGCACACCCTGGAGCGTGGAACTCCGTTGGGTTGGTTTGGGCGCTGTTTTTCCGTTGTGTGTGCTATGTGCTGTGAGAATCCCGATTGAACTTGTATGACGTGTACCTCTGTTTCAGCCCACGGCATCCTCCAGTGTATTGCTGTGCGCGTGAGGCTGTTACAGTTGTCATTCGAGGAGGTATCGACAGTTTGTTATTTTGTACTTTACGGTGTTCAGCACGCTGGAAGACCATGTGTATCGTACAGCCGAACCAGGGCACAACTGCCTCAGAAGAAACTTTTAGACTTATGCATAGATGGTGAAAGTTGAAAAACTTTGTTCAAGGGCGTTACATTTACATGTTGCAAGATTAATACGGCGCTCGTAAACATTCACCGAAAGCACAACTAACGTGCCAGTAAAAAGGAACGCTGCCGTACTTGGAGGCAGCCACGGGGACCGACACGCCCCCAGGGTCCCAACCCTCTCTGCCTACGACACGGGCGCCCGGGGCTAAACCCGGAGGCGGGCGCTTGGAACGTGTCCGTTGGAAACATCCTGTTCATAAAGTAGGGTGTTGTTGCGCCGGGAAGTCGCTTTTATTGGGCACGTTGTTTCGGTGCAGCTTGGGGCGTACTGGCGGGCGCCGCGGTGCATACTTCGCCCCTGCGCGAGTGGAGCCAACGGGCCCATGGAAGTAAGTAGTTTGAGCTATATCTTCGGGAATGGGCGACTCACAGAGCAGCCGGGCCTTTCCGCACAACTCTCAACCCAAGACTAGTCCGCACGCGGACCTCGATCGACTATCCTCTTTCTCTCCGCGGCGCCGACGGGAACCCTTGTCTCCGTCACGACTCCGCTGTCGCGGGCTCGAGATCTCAAGCGGGAGCGGAGTTATTGCACAGCATCGTGAAGCGCGCTGCATTCCCCCGCTCGTGCCTGCATCATGTACTGTGCTGTCGTTGCTGTTAAGGTTCGCGACGCTGATTGAACGAGACATGTGCTGTGTTCCGACTTGAACCTATTAATTTTGTCGTTGTCGTACAGCGTAGATAGCTTGCTGTGTCCACGCATCACCATTCTGCTGTGTATATTCCACCCACACCCATCATCACCTCCCCGACGCACACTGCGACTGATAGATACAATTTTAGCGGTGTTATGGTGGTGGGGACTTCTAAATCAGCACCTGCAAAATGCGGGCAAACACGTATCTCTTTTTGAAATTGTGAAAATATCTTTATTTTAAATAACGCACAATTCGCCAGGAATAATTTGATTCTTGCCGAGTTCTTCTACTCATGGAAAGCACATCTGCAGCATCGTTCACGTGGCATACTCCACCCCGATGTCCACACTTTTTTCGTATCTACCAAGGACACGGACAGCTATACCCTCGACGGATGACAGCGGGCGAAGCCACCCGCGTCCGGACCTTGCATGACAATGATTTGCTCTTTTTTTTTTCACTACGGGACCCCCTTTCTAACGCCGAGTTGCTGACACCCTACACTGCCCGCCAACACCACCACCACCACCACCAGGTCATGGACAAGTGCCTCGCGGTGGCGAACGACGCTTCCAGCGCCCTCAACTTGGACGCCTTCTACCTCATGCAGCCGCTCATGGGTATGACGTTTTCTTAGCGTTGTAGTCCACGGATCCGAGGCGGTCGTACTTGATTTAGATCCATGACGTCACATAGATACTGGTTGGCTGGCCAACAACGCAAGAAGTTGAAGCGGTGCTTGACAATTCATCACAAGGAGGACGTCGCGCGCTTGTCGGCATTGTTGCAGCCATCAGCACGGTCGAGAAGCGTTCAACCAAACACAACAGCTCTTGAGGCAAAAGCATCACTTCGTTCGTCATACTGTGATGGGGTCATGACGCACTGCCATGATGTCCAAAAGGCTTTGGGTTGATGACCCGAAGACCGTCTCACGTTGTCGAGCTTCATCGTGGTTGGGGGCTCATGCCAAGTTATCGGGCAGCAGAATGCCTGACCTTTGCTTGCTTCCAAACGCAGGCTACCCGGGGCAGATCGGAGACTATGACCAGTGCTCCAAGGTAGCCCTTTTCGACCCATCCGTCCAGGCGGTAATGCAAACCCATCACTGTCTCGCCGGAAGCTTGTCGTTGGCTTCCAACGAGGGGAACGTGCCCTTCGGGGGTCTCTGCGTGCCGGAGGCGTGCTCGCCGGACATCCTCTCCATGCCCGCCTTCAGGTCGTGGCTGGTTCAAAAAGCCTTGGAGCTGGACTCGTCGGGAACCTCCACGGAGACCGCGCAGCACTTCCTCTACAACCTGCAGAGGCATTCGCAGCTCGCCGCTGACATGCACCAGGGGCTGACGTGCGGAACGTACCAGAGGCCGACGTTCGGGTGGGACGCGATTGCGGTGACGAGCGGGCTGTGCCTTCTGCTCTTGTTGATCGTCTACGCCACGTGCGCGGATCTATTCAACGGAGCAGACTACCCGCAGTCGGGCCAGAAGGTTACCCCCAACAGCAGCAGGGCCGGGCCACACCGCATTAAGTACGCCGGGCGTAACCCCCTCGGGGGCGGCGGCGGCAGCGGCGATGTCTACGTCTTGCAGCAGGACCACATCAACAAGCACCTCGCCGCGTTCTCCGTTCCCAGGAACCTCGGCTGGCTTTTTGCTGTGGGGGAAGCTAACGAGCTGAGCGTGTTTGACGGCCTGCGGGTGCTCAGCATGCTGTGGGTAGTGCTCGGTCATATCCTGGCTGTTCAGGCTTCTATCGGGTACATCAACCCTGAGACCGTAATGCCTCCGGGGGGGCTCCTCGCTAGCGTCGCCGGCCAAGTGTTTTTTTCTGCGAGGTTCTCCGTGGACACGTTTTTCTTCGTCTCTGGATTTCTGGTGGTGTACGCGATGCTTCGCCGCTTCAAGCTTGACGGCAATGGTGCGAAAGTGCAGCGAGTATCGTCGTGGCTTCCGTTCTTCTACCTGCACCGCCTCCTGAGGATCACCCCGTCCTACGTCTTCAGCCTGCTCTTGTGGTGGAAGCTGGCCGTGTTTATGGGAGAAGGACCTTTCTGGTACCGCTGGGAGTTCTTCATCGGCCTTTGCGACAAGTTCTGGTGGTCCAACGTGACGTACCTCAACAACCTGGTCCCTTGGCACCAGGGTGAGACTGGCACGTGCTTCTACCCTACGTGGTACTTGGCCGACGACATGCAGTTTTACATGGTGAGTCCCGTGTTCATCGTCCTCTATATGCGACGAAAGTGGTGGGGCGTGGCGGCGACGTTCCTCGCCATCTTCGCCTCTACGGCGGTCATGGCCATCGGGACGTACGTGAGGGGTTGGTCCGCCTTGACATTCGACGGCTCGTGGGTAGTGAAGTACTCCGAGGAGACTTACACGGCGCCCTATTTCCGGATAGTGTCGTACCTGATCGGGATGCTCTTCGCCATGCTTTGGCACGAGAAGCAGATGCGATGGCCGCAGTTCAAGCTGGCGGACTGGCAGCGCTACATCATGCTCTCAACGTCCGCGGTTATCTTCTTCGTCGTGACCTTTGTCGGCTACTCGGGCTACCAGAACGCTCCTTGCTCCATCTTCCAAGACCCGGCGTCGTCCCCCTGCGGCTCCGGGTGGACCGCGTCACAGCTGGCGCTGTACAACGCGGGCACCAGACCGGCGTGGGGATTCGCCCTCATCCTCCTGTGCTTCGTCTGCTTCAATGGCCAGGGGGGGCTCTTGCAGCAGTGGCTCGCGCACAGGGCGTGGGCGCCCCTCGCGCGACTGAGCTTCGGCGCCTACCTGCTGCACCCGCTCGTTATCAACCTTTGGTTTCTCAACTCGACAACAAAGGTAAATGTGATCTCCTGCTTGCTCGAAGCGAAGGGAAACAGAGAGAGTGTGCTATCTCTGGTCTCACGCGGGTGTTACGTGACTTGCGACTGAGGCTGCGCGTGTGCGGGGGTTTGGGGGCAGATAGTGCCACGTGTATACCGTAGGCTGCATAAGATGCCCGCGCGGCCTCCACCGATTGCCAAAGCTCGAGTGCTCCGCGGCGAAAATAGGGACGGTGCCGAAAATGGAGACGTTGGAACCGCGTTGTCTACAGCTCTTCGAAAACATGGTAAAAGTATTTGATTTTTGCGTCGTCGTCGTCGTGGAGTAATGGGGCTTTGAAAATTTTCCAGGGTTTATCTGGTAACGTATGCAACCTACGGTATACCGTCACAAGACTGTCGAGCTCCGGTGCCTCTGGTATCAAGCTCAGCGGCGAAGCACGGTTTGTTGTTGTCTGCTTGATACCTTGCCCCTGCGTAGCAGAGGGGGGTGCAGTTACATGCGTGAAGGGGGGATCAATAGTCTCCTCCACTCCTTCCCGCGATTTTTGGCTGTCGAAGGAATGCTGAGGGGGCTTGGGTACATTTGAAGGTCTGCTTTTGGTGTTCACGCAGGGACGCACACTTCACGTAAATACCCCGCACGCCCCTCCGCTCACCTCTGCAACTGACCCCCCGTCCCTTCCCCTCTTTGTCTCGAAATTTCCAGTTTCACTTCTCGAAGGTAGACCTTTTCATGAGCTACGTGTGCGTGTCGGGGGTAACTTTCGGCAGCGCCCTGATTATGGCGCTGATCGTGGAAAGCCCTTTGACCAAGCTGGGACGGCGATTGGAGAACATCATCAAGCCGAGAGAGAGGTATGTGGGTGTGATAAAATGTTGCTTATGAGGATATTTTGCGTGTTCAACGTCCGCTCCAACTTCGGGTTCTTGCACAGTTTGCAGTTTGTTGCACCGGATCGTGACTCGTGTGCTGCCTTGCTTGTGTTTTTCGTCTCAACAGCTGTACATTCGGTGTATTGCGTCGGTTTCGCCCAATCGTACGCACACCGTTGTTGTCGCACCTGCTTTCTTGTACCTCGTAAACTTGGCACGAACACCCACGTTCACATGGCCATTACCAGGGTGCACAAGGTGAGCACGGAGTACTTCGCCGCGGAGCAGTCGCCGGGCAACATCGAGCGGCACGTGCTGCAGCGGGAGGACTCCAACGACGACTACCTGGAAGTCGATGGCCGTGAAGAGGTGCGACCCTTCCGCCTACGATGGTAGTGTGCATATCCTCTCTTCCCCTTTCTTGCTTTCTTCGAGATTTTCTTGACCGTACCTCTGTGTGCGTGGTCCTGCTAGGTTGCTTTTATCTACGCCTGGCTGCTTTGCTGTTTTGGGTGGGCTATTGGGATGCCCACAAAATTTACGTTTGACCAGCCTTTCGGTTTTCCCGTTACAATCCATCGTGTTAGCCCCCCGCAATCCGACCCGACCCGACCGCCGCCGCAAGTGTGAGCGATTTTCTACGCCTATGATGTTTCTCTGTCCCACAATGTGCTGGGTCTCCTCCCTGTCGTCACCACGGTTTCTACCCTTTCGTCACCCACGCCCGTTCCCGTGTTTCCCAACATGGAGCGTAGGGCGACTTTTTTGTCGACGACGTTGGTCGCACACCCAGCCCGATGCAAGGGCCCATGAGAGCAGCAGGAGGGGGTAGAGGAGGAAGTGGTGGGTCCGGCAGAAACGGGGTTTCGTCGAGATTAGCAGGGATGCAGGGAGGGGCTGCCGGTGGGACAAGGGGCGAGATGGCGGCTCTCGTTGCCAACACGAACCCGGGGTATCATGACTACATGTCTGAGGTTACTCCAAGGCGAAGAGGGAGTGAGGCATTCGGATAGATGAGCGATAAATTTACTTTAGCATCAGTAGGGCCGAAAACTGATTCGCGTTGTGTTGCTTTGTTTTTTTCTGCGTGCCTGGAGGACATTGTATGTTGTCTGTCCCGTGCAATCTTGGTACGGTCCCTTCAGTACGATGGTGTTCTCACCGCTCATAGTCCTAGCGGCTTGCGTTGTTTCCCGAATGCCTTTCGTAGATTCTGTGTTATTCAGAGCGTTCTTCCTGTTGTCCAAAGCAAAACTATGTCCTGCGGTAGATATTTTTTGGCGTCACACCGGGCCGGAGCTCTTGAGTTGGCAAACGTAGGAAAGATTCCGGGCTGCACAAGGTAGTACACCGAGCGACGGTTGGAGGAAAGCAAAAATAAACTGAACGTACAAGAACATTGCACGCAGTCCGATTTCTTCGCGATGCCATTTTGCATCTTGGTGCAACTCTTTTTGATCATTCCGATTAACACCGTCGCCCCTTCCCCGGTGGTGTCGAATAGTGTACCTACCGACCGTTTTCCTGAGTGCGGTATGGGTGGCATAGTCCCATCACCGGACCGGATCGGATAGCATCAGTTACAGTATCAAGTCGCTATTTTCTTGAGGGAAGCGGGAACACGCGGCTCGTTGGTGTATTGATGTGTTCCTTAAGGTCCCCGTGGGACGCTCCTTTGCTATTCGTTCAACTCAACTGGCCTCCAACGTAGGTAGGGCGCTCGGTAACGCCGAAAGTTGTAGCTGGCGTCGTCGCACGTGTAGATTACGTTCGGTGTTTTGTACTTAGCAAGGATGCCTTCGCTGTCCTTCGACCAATGCACGCCAATCAACCGAAGGCAACATCGCTTGGGTATAGAAAAGACGACAATTAATGGTTCCTTTATCACCAAGAAATTTGGGACCAAAGTTTGTTGGCTTGTTGTGCCATGTCCCTGCTCACCCCCTTGCGGCATCCACGTTGGTCTGGTACGCCTTGCGTGGTAGCAGATCAGCTACAGAGACCGACGCTCGCACTTGACACGCGAGGCCAAACACTACGATACGTCAGGACAAGGATAATCACCAACCAACTGGCGGAGTGATCACGGAGTGAGTGTCGTCCCAAACTCGCCCGCTTGTGCGGTACAAAACAAAGATTTTGAATCCGGGTTCATTCGTTGCACCATAATTTATGAAGTACTTCTTTCACACAGTAGTACAAGTCTCTGTTTGACTGTTTTTCAGCATTCGTTCAGTTTTTATTGACTATTATATATATTTTTGACTATTTCACGAACAGTATCCTTCCAGGTTTTTGGCTCCTGGTATGTATAGAGTAAGGGTGGGTATTAAGGCCACCCTAAGACCCCCCCGACTTCGGCGGCTCGCTCCCCGGGGTCACGATGATTTACGACAAGGTGGAGATATCGGATAGACTACAAGATTGATAAAGGAAAATCGAAAAAAATTGAAATGGCGAGGATGTATAGCCTGCGAAGTTTATTCTCCACGTAATACTTCGGGGGAAAACGGCCGGGGGGGTATTAAGGCCACCTTTCGGGTAGGGGTTCATTGCTCAGGTTGTACAGCGTTGCACGACCTGAAATTTGGCATATACGCTCTTACTATGACGCATGTTAGATACAATCAAAAAAAAAAAAAATCGGTGCACACCCGGGGACAAAATGCCCACATCCCCGGTTTTATGGCTCAATTTTGAGGGACGTAATATACCCCGTTTTGGCGGCCCTGCGTGTTCTCTGGCCTTGAAACCTCCCAAACGCACTGGTTTGATGACTTCGTGACTGGTGTGGATCCCATTCTGAGTCACAATAAAAAAACAACGGCAAACGAACACCTAGGCACGACGTTACGCCTGTCCAGACATGGGGTACTTTTCCCCGTTTTCGGCGCATACGGCAGCATTTTCCCCAAAACCTGCGACTTTTTTTACCATCTAATTTGCACCCACATCAACCCCTCACGAGACGCGTCGGTTGATGGAAACGATTTGGATGTTGCAGAACACGTGTTGGACAAGAAAAAAAAAAGCACGTAGCCCAGGGGACAAAAATACACCATCCCCGGGTTTTCGACAAACTGTCCGCAGCCCATCCTGCCCCACNCGTCGGTTGACGTTCCCTCGCCGCCTGCTCTGCCCTTTTCGCGTCTCGTGCCTCTTCCCGCGCCACGGCCTTTGCCGTCTTTGCGGCCTCGGCAACCTGCAGTTCGCGTATTTTTTCCTCTTGCCTCGCCACCCACTCTTCATCAGTGAGGACTCCTCCGTCTGGAATGCCCGAATTCGCCCGCGTTGGCGTTTTTTTCTTGGGGCGGTTGTTGGGCAGGTAAGAGCCGAGAAGCACTGTGCTCACGCGAATCCCCGGGATGGTGTGGCCTTCTGCCCGGGCCTTGCGGACGCCGCGCTCGCCCAGCAGCTCCTCCAGGTGTTCGTTGCTTACAACGATGGGGACGTCCTGCAGGGAAGGGCGGTCGGCTTCCCGCGCCTTCCTNAGCCGAGAAGCACTGTGCTCACGCGAATCCCCGGGATGGTGTGGCCTTCTGCCCGGGCCTTGCGGACGCCGCGCTCGCCCAGCAGCTCCTCCAGGTGTTCGTTGCTTACAACGATGGGGACGTCCTGCAGGGAAGGGCGGTCGGCTTCCCGCGCCTTCCTATTCGGGCGCTGCAGCCGTGTGAGTGCCCGTTCCTTGTCCACCGGCCATAGGCCCGCCCCGGCGAAGGAAGGAAGCTTTGTTGATTTCCGGCGTAAAACTCGTGCTCCACGCTTGCCCGATCAAGCCGGCCGGCCATGTCCCGCTTCCGCGGCAATGCCCCTCCGTGTTTCGACGGGAAGGTCGCGGTCGGTGTGGTCAGCTCCTTCTTGAAACAGTCGAAGCCAGCGACGTCCAAGGGCTTGGCGACGTGCGACATGTGGGAGGGCAGTTGGACGAGGTGGATGTTGAGGGATTTGGCCAACTGATGACTTCAAAGCTCCGGTGCGACGCGTGCCCACCCAGCACGACGAGCACGTGGGGTTTTCCGTCGAGCAAGCCACGCCGGCCGAGCTGCTCGTGGAAATTCTTGATGTAGTTGATGAAGACATCACCGCACATGAAGGACGATTCCGTGCAGGTGAACGTCGCACCCGGCAGATCCCCCCTATCCGCAATCAAATCTCCGTTGAAACGTTGCCCTTCGAAGATCATGGTAGGGTCCAGCACGGCGCCGGCGGCGTTGATGGTGGTGACGATCGTGCAGTTTTCTCGCGAGTTGGCACGCATCTGGGGGACCACCGGCAGCCCCCTTCTCCGCGAAGTCCCGCCCTCCCTGCGTGCCTTGAATGGTACCACCTACAACAATAATTTGGGGCGATAAAGCGCGCGCGTGGGGGGGTGAAAGCGGAGGACAGTAAGTACAGGCTGAGCTGCGCTCACACGCACCCACCAACGTCCAGCCTACCATGGGGACGGCGGGGGGGGAGGGGGATAGGGGAGAGGCCGATGCGACAGAGTTGTTTGACCACATATTGTAAAGTAGACCCTACTGTAGCCTGTAGGCCTGGAGCAAAAAAAATTCAAGGATTCATTTTTAACCAGGGCAACGGTAGTCGAAGACGGGAAAGATACGTACAGCAGCATCATCTCATGTCACTTCAACTTGGCACACATCAACTCCGCGCGTGTGTTGCGCACAGACCATGTGGATCAGCATGTGAACTGCTCGTGGAGCACCGTTTGTATTTACCGCCGAAATAATGAGGGACAGCAACCAGCGTACATGAAACAGCAGTAGGTGCGCGTTCACCCAGCAGCGCTCTCGCTGCACACACGCCACGCAGCGGGGGAGCTCCATTCAGCAGCAGCAGATCTCTTGCCTTTTTTTCACATTGTTGTGCATCGCTGGTGAAAACATCAAAGCACGCCCGAAGAGCGTCACACAGTAACTGTTGCTGAAAACACTGCTACTTAGGCCACTTGTTACGCTGTCTCTTTTTGGGCTGTCCCTTTTCTCAAAAAGAGACAGCCCAAAAAAAGATATGGAAAAACGACAACCCACTTGTTAATACTTCACGCTGTCTTGCTGTCTTTTTTCCAAAAACGAGGTGTTCGATTATTCTCGGAGGCGTTTGGCGTGCGCGCGCCAGCGCGCGCGAACGATTTCTGAATTCTTGCAGTTCGCGCCGCTTCTCTCTCGCGCACGCGCACAAGCTACATCAGCACACCACGCGTATCCACACCGCACACACACTACGAGCCACCGCATACCATGGATGTTATGAAACTAGACAACGTTCAGCCTCTCCCGCTGGAGTTCAACGGGTATGTCGAGGGCACGTTGGATTTGCTCCTGGGCGGCAAGGGCCTCTCGCAGATCAAGCTTCTCAAGCACCTNTACGAGCCACCGCATACCATGGATATTATGAAACTAGACAACGTTCAGCCTCTCCCGCTGGAGTTCAACGGGTATGTCGAGGGCACGTTGGATTTGCTCCTGGGCAGCAAGGGCCTCTCGCAGATCAAGCTTCTCAAGCACCTCCAGAACGTGTGCATCGTGTACGCTTGCTTGGCGGTCAAGCGGAACGCCGGGATCGTCTCCACGGAGGCTAAGTACAAGGCAGCGGCCAAGGGCTACAAGGACATCGCTGTCCCAGGATTCTTCAAGTGGCTCAAGGAAAACGGCATAGTGATCAAGCAGGCGTGGCTGACGTTCGAGGTCATGGGCAGAACAAGTCTGAACGGAGGTAAGAAAACAAACGCTTCGCGACACACCGTGAGACACAACCGACCGCCGCGACAGAGAGAGGCAGGTTTCGAATGCGTATCCGACCCTCTGCGCCGCTATGGTCTGCTGTTCAACACGATATGCGCAACGCCGGATGCAGGGTGTTTGTGTTTGGTCCGCTCAGCGCAAATACATATTTTCAAAGTTGTCATGTTTGTTGACAGGGCAGACAGGCCATCACGGTGCGCTGCCTTGACAGAGTCGTGATCCATCAACTAGGCAGCACCCACAAAGCCCTCCACCAGAAGTAACTAGGCTGTGTGAAGTTTGGTGACATAGTCTGGGGTAATAAAGCACGCCCGGCTTTGGGCAGCAATCGGTTATAAAATGACGACTTGACAGCGATGGGCATCCTCCTGCAAAGTCGGTGTCACCAGGAAATTAAACATAGGTCCGTTCTGTAGGGTACTGATACTTCTGTAGGGTACTGGGAGAGTTACAGAGCTGTTTGTGAAATCTCTGTAGGGTACTGGGCGAGTACCGA